TCTCCACATCTAGTTAATTTTCTAATTTTTTGTAGAGATGAGGTCTCACTATCTTACCCAGGCTAGTCTTGAACTCCTAGACTCAAGCAATCCTCCCACCTTAGCCTCCCAAAGTGCTGGGATTACAGGTATAAACCACTGTGCCCAGCCCTGACATTTTAAAATGGCATGTGATTCTAAGGCCTCAGAATTCAGGAATGTGCTGAATCTCCTTTTATTTCATAGCAATATTCAAAAGGAATCTGACCTCCTTTTTACCAGGATAATTGATTAGGTCATGAGGGCCATACCTAGAGTGTCCTTTTTGAAAATAATTCTAATTTAATCAGTTATGATAAGCCTGTTATTAGAAAACAAGTTGACTATATGTAGAATCAATGCCTACAAAGCTGTAGGTCAATAACACTGGCAAAGTGCCTGGCTTAAATGTTTGTCTTGTCAGTGGTAAGGAAGAGCAATGCTCAGCAGGCCAGGAACCCTAGCAAATTTTGAAGATGTTAAGGAGAGAGATTCACCCAAGTTCTTAGGTACTACAGGAGAAATCTAGTGGAGAGTTTCTTGGATTTGGTTCCCCAGCCTTGGGATGTCAAGCTATAGAGGCTTTTAAAAGTTCAATTTGAGGTTTCTGATGAAAAATTTCAGACAGAAGTTAATCCTGTGGCCTTAGTAATTTGTTCAGTACTGTATGGTTCTGGATTTGCAAAGTAAATTTGAGGAGATCTACGTGACTAATGAACTCTCTTGCTGTACCTAGGCAAATAATCCAGATAAACCTAATGAAATTTGCTTTATACTGATCAGGAATATTTGTGGCAAATTCCTTTTGATGAAAAGGAAGAGACTGTTAAGAAACACTGTCAAAGCCTTGAAAAAGGATACAATAAATTATTGGGTATCCCTTTAGTCGTGTGCTAGGTATTATCTAATGGATCCTCTGCATATTATCTGATAGGATATGTACCATTGTCTTTTTATTGGATAGACTGTTATACAATTGTAAATGTAGATGTTAAATTGTAAAAAAAAAATGGAAAGTAATGCAACTGAACCTGAACTACAACTAATTTCTGCTCTGTAAAAAAGATGGTCCCATTAGGTTTTATTGCCCTATACCAGTGGTCCCCAACCTTTTTGGCACCAGGGACTGGTTTTGTAGAAGATAATTTTTCCACAGACTCAGAAGGTGGCGGGGGGTTGGGGGGGGCGGGGAGATGGTTTGGGGATAAAAATGTTCTCAGATCATTAGGCATTAGATTCTCATAGAAGCACGAAACCTAGATCCCTCACGTGTGCAGTTCACAATAGGGTTCGTGCTCCTATGATAATCTAATGTTGCCACTGATTTGACAGGAGGTGGAGCTCAGGCAGTAATGCTTACTCGCCTAACACTCACCTCCTGCTGTGCAGCACAGTTCCTAATGGCCCAGAGACTGCTACTGGTTTGTGGCCTGGGAGTTGGGGACCCCTGCCCTATAGGATATGGTTAATCTACTAGCAAATTCTTTTTTTTTTTTTAGACGGAGTTTTGCTCTTGTTGCCCAGGCTGGAGTGCAGTGGCACAATCTCAGCTCACCACAACCTCCGCCTCCCAGGTTCAAGTGATTCTCCTGTCTCAGCCTCCCGAGTAGCCGGGATTGCAGGCATGCACCACCATGCCCAGCTAATTTTGTATTTTTAGTAGAGACAGGGTTTCTCCATGTCGGTCAGGCTGGTCTTGAACTCCCCATCTCAGGTGATCCGCCCGCCTCAGCCTCCCAAAGTGCTGGAATTACAGGCATGAGCCACTGCACCCAGCCTAGCAAATTCTTTTAAGCATTTATTACTGCCTATTATCTGCTCTTCAAATTCTCCCTTATACCAGTTTTAACTTGTACTAGTTCCCTCATCCATTGAGTTAAATATAGTCTTTCACATATTAAGAAAAAACACTGTTGCCAGTGGAATTTAATCTTTAATCTCCAAAGACCCTTTGTACTATTTGATAATGTATTCAAATTAATGGCTGTAATTCTAGAAGTCATATCAATGACGATTTTTTTTTTTAATCCAGAGGAGTCACTGAATAATTCTTCTCCCTCTATGCAAATTGATGACTCTGGTAGATTCCTTAAACATTCATTAAAATTTGGTAAAACTACCAGATCACATGTAAAACTATGCTTTCTCTAGGAACCATCAATTCACTAATGGAGGCAGCTAACAGTCACGTTTGTAGTCCATGACTGTACCTACCCTCCTTCTTATAATGGCCCTAGTCAGCAAGCTTATAAATGTGGTGGTCAATCCAAAATAGAAATATGCTACAGCGAAGTCTGATTCTATTGTGGGATCAAAGAAGCAGAGACAGTTAGGCTATAGAGCAACAATGAATAAAATATGACAGAAGTGGAGAGTTAGCAAAAGACTACATATATTTCATGGATTCCTGAGGACTGACTATTCTGGTTTTAGTCTCTTCCTGAGACTGACTCCTTTCCTGCCTTTCAGATCTATGAGTCATTTCCACATACTTAAAATACATATTTGCTTAAAGTAGCTTAAATTCATTTGTTACTTGTGACTAAAAAGGCTTAAATGGTACAAAATTACGTAAGTGCTTAATCTTTGTTAGCAAGGATACTGTAATCTCATCATAATGCTTTGGAGTACATTTATATCTTGTGTAAAAACCTTTTCTTTTCTCCTTCCTTCCTTCCCCTTCCTTCCTTCCTTCCTTCCTTCCTTCCTTCCTTCCTTCCTTCCTTCCTTCCTTCCTTCCCTCCCTCCCTCCCTCCCTCCCTCCCTCCCTCCCTCCCTCCCCTCCCTCCTTCCCTCCCTTCCTCTCTTCCTCCCTCCCTTCTTTTGGAGTACATTTATATCTTGTGTAGAAACCTTTTCTTTTTCCTCCCTCCCTCCCTCTCTCCCTTCCTTCCTTCCTTCCTTTTTTGATGGAGTTTCACTCTTGTTGCCCAGGCTGGAGTGCAATGGCATGATCTCAGCTCACTGCAACCTCGGCCTCCCAGGTTCAAGTGATTCTTCTGCCTCAGCCTCCTAAGTAGCTGGAATTACAGGTGCCCACCACCATGCCCAGCTAATTTTTTGTATTTTTAGTAGAGACAGGGTTTCACTATGTTGGTCAGGCTGGTCTCAAACTCCTGACCTTGTGCTCTGCCCACCTCAGCCTCCCAAAGTGCTGGCATTACAGGTATGAGCCATCGCGTCTGGCCCTTTTTTTCTTTTTAGACAGGGTCTCACTCTGTCACCCAGGATAAAGTATAAATGGTGCCATCACAGTTCACTGAGGCCTCAAATTCCTGGCCTCAGTGATCCTCCCACCTCAGCCTCCCAAAATGTTGGGATTATAGGCACGAGCCACTATGCCCAGCCCATGTCTAGAAGCTTTATGTTTAGAAATGGTTGCACCTCTGTATTGCAAATTCAAATTTGCATTTGAAATATATACATTCTATTTAATTTCTCATTTCTACATAATAGCAATTAAGAATTCTCTAAATTTCCTTACCAATCTCAAGTTGTATCATTTAAATAAAATTTCATCATTGAGCACGAAGGAAATGTCATTTAAATATTTTATATTTGTAAAAGATTAGATTTTTATTTTGGTAATTCAGTGTGGTATAAGAAATTTGTTTGGTCTTTGTCCCCAGTTCCTGGCACAGGACTCCTAAAACCCTTGGAATTTCTTGAGTGCTTGGAGTATCTTCTGTTATTCCTTAGAAACCTTTTCAATCATACCTGAATTTGGCATATGAGATGACTTAGGGTGGGGCTCCTAGATAATCTCAGGAAGAATCTGGTCACCAGAAGGACTAAGTCATTAGAGGGTGATGTTATGGACTGAATTGTGTCCCTCCAAAATTTCTGTGTTGAAACTTCACACATTTGTGTGAAGTACAAATGTGATTGTACTTGAAAATAGGATCTTTTAGGGAGTTAATTAAGGTCGCGAGCATAGGGCTCTAATCTCACAGGGCTAGTGTCCTTAGAAGAGGAGAAAAAGACACAGGAGCTCCCCCTAACCCAACCCTTCATGATGCACAGAGAAGAGGATATGTAAGGACACAGAAGGTGGTAGTCTATAAGACAGGAAGAGAGGCCTCACTAGAAACAACCCAAATGGCACCTTGATCTTGAAATTCTAGCTTCCAGAACTGTGAGAAAATAAATTTATTTAAGACACCAAGTCTCTAGTTTTTTTATGACAGCCCTAGGAGACTAATACAGTTGGGAACTTCCAGCTTTCACCTTGGACCTCTAGGGAGAAGTGAAGGACTGGAGATTGAGCTCGATGGAAACTATTGAATGAGAGTTGGGGAGCTTCCAAGTTGAGGAATACAGAGACATGCAGGGAAGGTAATAAGATGGAAGAAGGCATGGAAGCTCTGCATCTCCCCTCTCCCTCCATACCTTTCCCTATGTACCTCTTCATTAATTGTTCCTAGTTGTACCCTTTATGATATAAACAGGTAAATGTAAGTAAAGTGTTTTCCTGAGTTCTGTGAGCTATTGTGGCAAATTATCAAACCTGAGGGCAGGGTCATGGGAATACTTGAATTTCCAGCCATGTTGGACAGAGTATGGGTAGCTTGGGGACTCAGGACTTATGACTGGCCTCTGAAGTGAGGGCAGCCTTATGGGATTAAGCCTAATTCAGCTGCATAGTGTCAGAACAGAATTAAAATGTAGGACATGGTTGATGTCAGAGAAATGGAGAATGAGATATGATGTCAGAAAGCACTCCATTTAGTATAACTTTAATAATACCAGTTTAGCTCTATTTGATATTGAGAATTAAAAACAAATATTAAATTCAGAGATTTGAGTTCTTATATTATTTCATATTTATATTTTCTGAGGTCTTTAAAAATATAATTAACAAAAAATGAACAAGTACCTTTATTCAATTCAAAATTAAAACGACTTTTTTTCATCATAGTAAATACACAAAATATAGACTATTACATGAAGTAATGAAATTTCCTGGAAAAAATACAGAAAGGTATGATAATAAGCACTGAACAATTTTATTAAGTTCTTTGCCAAAATGCAAACATATGAAATGAGATTGTGTACAATAGACCAAAGGCTACCTAGAGACCAACAGCCATATAAAAATAATTTAAGGCAAGCTTCATTGATTTATTTTAAATAAGGTAAGTGAAATATGGGTTCAAAATTAAGATTTTCAAGAAAGTTCTTGTAGCTGTAAATTAGGAGAATATGAATGTCAAAATTTTAACTGTTTGTGCCAAACTGAAAGCAAATGCTTTCCAAACTTCAGTAAAAAGAACTTTAATAATATCATTAAGTCTGCAAAGTCACTGACAAGTTGATAGTATTCAAATACTAAAATATTTTCTAAATGTAAATTTTGTAACATCTTGAATACTTTCTAAGCCCACTTTTCTGTCATTACAAAAATAAAATGCCAAGAAATTTCTGCGACATTAATCTTAAGAGATCAAAATAACAAAACATATGTACTTTTCTAAGTTAATGTAATTCAAGTAAAGTAGTATTAAAGAAAACACATCATTTTAATAAAAACCAAACCTGCTTAAGAGACATAACAGAGTTAAGCAAAAGTATAAACTACTAATAATAAGCAGTTGCTTAGATTTAATATAAGAGGATTTATTTTTATTTTCACTGGAAAAAACATTAAAGCCCTTTCTGTTTTCTGGAGCTGAAACAGTGGATTGTGTTCTAGTTATTCAATGTTTCTACAGTAATTTTTTTAACTTTTATACTTGCCAATGTGTTCACGGGCTATAATAAGTCTTTGAATTTGTGAAGTACCTTCATAAATCTGCAAAAAAAAATAAGTGTAGGTTAAATATTTTTAGTACATAAATACTTTGATTTATTCAACATTTTAGATAGTAGTATAAGCTGCATTGTAATATAAAACTGAATCAAAACATATATAGGGTCTGTAGCCTATAGATTCCAAAACCTGATTTTGTGAAAGTCTGAAAATATGGAATTCTCTAAAGATGGGCTTAAGTTATTATAAAAAGTCATGTATCAAAATTTTGGAGAAGAGTATTCAAAACATAGAAAAAAGAAAATATATTTACATTTCAGAAAAATTGGGAAAACTGAAGTTCATTATGGCCAAAATATTTGTCCAACTTTTCTGAACTGTACTTACCTAGCTGTCTCCTTAAGTCTTTTATTCTTAAATTTTTTTTTCTCCCACTGCCTATGGAACAGAGTTGCTAAAGAAAAAGATGCTGGGAGGATTTCAAGAGTCAGACCTTATTTCCATTCTAAACTTCTAACTTTAGCCATTTATTAGTTCAGCTTCTCAGATGGCAGAGAAAATCTAAACGGTTGATGATAATAATAGTAATAATTATAATTAAAGGCTCTAGGAGAGGAAGAGTATCAACACATAAACCAGCGACTTTGGATAAGGCACAAATTCTGGACCTCAGTTTTTTCATGTCTACATGGAGAGGCCACACTGTGTCTAACATTCCTTCTCACTCTAGCCTTCTGATTCGAACTCAATATTTCAAATGACCGGATAAGTCAAATAATTTGCTAGGTGTAGGGGGAGCAAGGGCAGAGACACCGAGGAGCAAGAATGTGATAATTATTAAGTAATTACTTAAGCCACATGTAGAGAACATGCACATTTATATTTCCTTTTACTAAATTCCTTCTAAGTTTTTTTGACTACTAATTTAATTTGGAATTCATCTACATCACTGTCTCTTCATGTTGGTTTTTGACTCCAAGTATAGTTACAATAAATTAAATAGTTGTCAGGCAAGATTCAAATCAAAATAATTAATTTTAAATGACATGCATACTTTTTGGAGAGAAAAGTTTGGGACACAATTAGCTAAGATGTTAAAACTCAAAGAAATCTAATCCAAACATAATATATATGTCTGCACCATTTGTTTTTTTAGCCTATTCTCTCTTCAGACTTATACTTAATCACAAATAACATTCTTCTTTCTATTAATTAATTCCAAAAACTGGCTCACAGCCATATATGACAGTCATTTATTGCTACTAGGGACATAAAATTTCTAAATAATCAGAAATCTACTTTGTCATTTATGAATATTCTCTCTCCCTTGCAAACCAAAAAAATCATCTTTAACCTTACCTGATAGATCTTGGCATCCCTCATTAGTTTTTCTACAGGATATTCTGTATTAAATCCATTGCCTCCAAATATCTGCACAGCATCAGTAGCTAACTGATTTGCAATATCTCCAGCAAATGCCTTTGCAATAGAAGCATAATAGGTATTTCGACGACCAGAATCAACCTCCCAAGCTGCTCTCTGGTAACTCATTCTAGCTAGTTCAACTTTCATTGCCATTTCAGCCAGCATAAATGATATCGCTTGGTGCTAGAATTAAAAAGAAAAAAGTTAAAGGATATTTATTGAGAAAAAAGTTTTTTTCTGGGGCTTTTTTTTTTTTTTTTTTTATAGTGACGAGGTCTTGCTGTGTTGCCCAGGCTGGTCTGCAACTCCTAGCCTCAAGCAATCCTCCTACTCAGGCCTCCCAAAGTACTGAGATTATAGGCGTGAGTCACTGCGCCTGACCTTTTTTTTTTTTTTAAAAAAAAAAAAACAAACAAAAACCTTTTCATTAACTAATTTTAGGTTTATAGAAGTTACACCCAGCTTCCTCTAATGTTAACATATTACCAAACCATAGTGCTATGATTGAGAACAGGACATTAACACTGGTATAGTATTAACTAAACTATAAGCCTTACTCAAATCTGGTCAAGTTTTCTAACGTTCTTTTTCTTTTCACCATTACACATTGAATTTAGTTATTTCTTCTGAAATACTGGTATAGTATTAACAACTAAACTATAAGCCTTACTCAAATCTGGTCAAGTTTTCTACTAATGTTCTTTTTCCACCAGTATACATTGAATTTAGTTATTTCTTCTTATTCTTTCCCAGGCTATTACAATTCCTCAATCCTTTCTTACCTTTTATGTCTTTGCACTTCTGAAGAATGTTGATTGGTTATTTTATGTAAAATGTCCTTCAATTTCAGTTTGCCTATTTTTTTTTTTTTTTTTTGAGACAGGGTCTCACTTTGTCATCCAGGCTGGAATGCAATGGCATGATCTAAGATCACTGCAGCCTCAACGACCCTCCCGCCTCAGCCCCCAGAGTAGCTGGGACTTTTTAGCTGGCACTTTTTTTTTTTTTCCAAGACTGAGTTTCACTCTGTTGCTCAGGCTGGAGTGAAGTGGTGCGATATCGGCACACTGCAACCTCCGACCCCCAAGTTCAAGCGATTTTCCTGCCTCAGCCTCCCGAGTAGCTGGACATGTGCCACCACGCCCGGCTAATTTTTTTTTTTTTTTTTTTGTATTTTTAGTAGAGACAGGGTTTCACCATGTTGGCCAGGCTGGTCTCAAACTCCTGATCACAGGTGATCCACCCGCCTCAGCCTCCCAAAGTGCTAGGATTACAGGCCTGAGCCACCACAACCAGTTTTTTTTTTTTTTTTTTTTTTTTTTTTTTAAATAGAGACCTGGTCTCCCTATGTTGCCCATGCTGTTCTCAAACTCCTGGGCTCAAGGAATCCACCCACTTCGGCCCCCCAAAATGCTAGGATTACAGGTGTGAGTCACCATGCCCGGCCTCTGCTAGGACTTTTTAAAAGAAATTTGCTGGCTGGGTGCGGTGGCTCACACCTGTAATCAGAGCACTTTGAGAGGCTGAGGTGGGCGGATCACCTGAGGTTGGGAGTTTGAGATCAGCCTGATCAATATGGAGAAACCCCGTCTCTACTAAAAATACAAAATTAGCCAGGCATGGTGGCGCATGCCTGTAATACCAGCTATTCAGGAGGCTGAGGCAGAAGAATTGCTTAAACCTGGGAGGTGGAGGTTGTGGTGAGCCAAGATCACACCATTGCACTCCAGCTTGGGCAACAAAAGAGAAACTCCATCTCAAAAAAAAAAAAAAAAAAAAGTTGCTACAGATAGAGAAAAATCATGTGGCATTGTATCAGATACCAAGACAGAGGAAAGGACAACTAAAAGATGCTTCTTAGACTCTGTACAGACTCAGAATTGAATAGAAGACATAAAATAAATACTTTCAATAAGGGACAGTAAGTGCTCTGTGAGTTAGTTATATGGTCAAGATACGTTATAGGATGGAAATATGTTCCCGTTTCCTGGCGTACAACTCCTAAATTCTTTAGGATCTCCAAAGTGCTGTCTATTGTCTGATAGGTTCAGCATGGTGCTGGTCACTGCAAAGACGATGGCAGGATTAGAGGGTTAGGACCTTCAGCCCCACCCCCCACAACCTCCAGGGAGGGGAGAGGGGCTAAAGGTCAAGTTAAATCATCAATGACCAATGGTTTAATTGATCATGCCTATGTAATGAAGCCTCCATGAACACACAAGAATGTGTCCAGAGTTGGTTCCTTCCAGTGGGTTCTTGGTCTCACTGACTTCAAGAATGAAGCTGCAGACCTTTAACAGCTCTTAAAGATGGTGTGTCTGGAGTTTGTTCCTTCACATGTGTCCAGAGTTTCTTTCTTCCAGTGGGTTCGTGGTCTTGCTGACTTCAAGAATGAAGCCGTGAACCTTTGTGGCAAGTGTTACAGCTCTTAAAGGTGGTGCAGACTCAAAGGGTAAGCAGCAGCAAGATTTATTGTGAAGAGTGAAAGAACAAAGCTTCCACAGCGTGGAAGGGGACTGGAGCAGGTTGCCACTGCTGGCTGGGGTGGCCAGCTTTTATTCCCTTATTTGTCCCAGCCAACATCCTGCTGACTGGTCCATTTTACAGAGTGCTGATTGGTCCATTTTACAGAGTGCTGATTGGTCCATTTTATAGAGTGCTGACTGGTGAATTTATAATCCTTTAGCTAGACACAGAGCGCTGATTGGTGCATTTTTACAGAGTGCTGATTGGTGTGTTTACAATCCTTTAGCTAGACACAGAGTGCTGATTGGGGCATTTACAATCCTTTAGCTAGACACAGAGCACTGATTGGTGCATTTTTACAGAGTGCTGATTGGTGTGTTTACAATCCTTTAGCTAGACACAGAGTGCTGATTGGTGCATTTTTACAGAGTGTTGATTGGTGTGTTTACAATCCTTTAGCTAGACACAGAGTGCTGATTGGGGCATTTACAATCCTTAGCTAGACACAGAGCACTGATTGGTGCATTTTTACAGAGTGCTGATTGGTGTGTTTACAATCCTTTAGCTAGACACAGAGTGCTGATTGGTGCATTTTTACAGAGTGTTGATTGGTGTGTTTATAATCCTCTAGCTAGACAAAAAAGTCCTCTAAGTCCCCATTGGACCCAGAAAGTCCAGCTGGCTTCACCTCTCAAGAGGACATGGTTTGGAGAACTTCCAGAGGTTCCTATAGGGTGAAATTCCCAGGGAGGGCATGGAAGCCATATGCATCTTCCTTCATCTGTATCCTTTAAAATATCCTTCCTGGCTGAGTGTGGTAGCTCACACCTGTAATCCCAGCACTTTGGGAGGCCAAGGTGGGCAGATCACCTGAGGTCAGGAGTTTGAGACCAGCCTGGCCAACATGGTGAAACCCTGTCTCTACTAAAAATAAAAATAAAAAATTGGCCAGGCATGGTGGCAGGTGCCTGTAATGCCAGCTACTTGGGAGGCTGAGGCAGAAGAATCAATTGAACCAAGGAGGCAGAGACTGCAGTGAGCCGAGATCACGCCATTGCACTCTAGCCTGGGCAACAAGAGTGAGACTCTGTCTGAAAAAAAAATTAAAAATAAAATAAAATAAAAATTAAAAAATTAGATATCCTTCCTAATAAACTGGTAAATGTGTTTCCCTGAGTTCTGTGAGCTGCTTTAGCAAATTACTGGAATTCACAGACGGGGTCATGGGAACCCCAACTTGAAGCCAGTCAGCCAGAAGTTCTGGAGGCCAGGACTTGCAACTGGGGGAAAAGAAGGGGCAGTCTTGTGAGATTAAGCCTGTGGGATCTGATGCTATCTCTGGGTAGGTAGTGTTGGAACTAAGTCAGAGGATACCCAGCTAGTGTCTGTTGCTTGGTGTGTGTGGGATATCCTCCCACATCTTTGGTCATAGAAGTCTTCTTCTGTGTTGATCATTTTTGTGGTGTTGAGAACAGAAGAAAAACATGGTTTGAGAGAGTTTTTCCTGATACAAGTGACTACTTTGGTTCAAATCTTAGTTCCATAATTTATTAGATGGGCCTAATCATTTTGCATGTGATAAATGGAAATAACAGTACCTATTCCAGAGTATTATGAAGATTAGAGTTAATACATGTTAAGCACCTGGAATAGTGCCTGGAACAGGGAAAGCATCTGATTATTAGTATTTAATAGAGTAGGTATTCAATCACTGTTTGTTTTATGAATAAAATAGAAGTTCACAGCACAAGACATCTAAGTGCTAGGAGTAGAAAGGTTTCTAAAAACATACATTTATATGGAGCTTACATTCTAGTGAGACTGTGAGGGGAGACAATAAACAAATACTGATATAACAGAATGTTGGGTAGTGATAATAACTTTGAAAAAGAAGGGCAGGATCAGTGTTAGAGGTCTTATTTTACATACCCTCATGTCATCTGGAAACAGGGACAATTTGACTTCCTCTTTTCCTAATTGAATACCCTTTATTTCTTTCTCCTGCCTTATTGCCCTGGTCAGAACTTCCAACACTGTGTTGAATAGGAGTGGTGAGAGAGGGCATCCCTGTCTTGTGCCAGTTTTCAAAGGGAATGCTTCCAGTTTTTGCCGATTCGGTATGATATTGGCTGTGGGTTTGTCATAAATAGCTCTTATTATTTTGAGATACGTTCCATCAATACCTAATTTATCGAGAGTTTTTAGCATGAAGGGCTGTTGAATTTTGTCGAAGACCTTTTCTGCATCTATTGAGATAATCATGTGGTTTTTGTCTTTGGTTCTGTTTATAGGATGGATTACCTTTATTGATTTGCATATGTTGAACCAGCCTGCATCCCAGGGATGAAGCAAACTTGATCATGGTGGATAAGCTTTTTGATGTGCTGCTGGATTTGGTTTTCCAGTATTTTATTGAGGATTTTTGCATCGATGTTCATCAGGGATATTGGTCTAAAATTCTTTATTTTGTTGTATCTCTGCCAGACTTTGCTATGAGGATGACGCTGGCCTCATAAAATGAGTGAGGGAGGATTCCCTCTTTTTCTGTTGATTGGAATAGTTTCAGAAGGAATGGTACCAGCTCCTCTTTGTACCTCTGGTAGAATATGGCTGTGAATCCGTCTGGTCCTGGACTTTTTGTGGTTGGTAGGCTCTTAATTATTGCCTCAATTTCACAGCCGGTTATTTGTCTATTCAGGGATTCAACTTCTTCCTGG